CTGAAGATGACAAGATGTAAAAGATATCCATACCGGTTTTGATTATTAACCACTCTCAAGTCGTACAATGTTTTCAAAGTTGTGTTTTTTATAAAAATAGCTATGCTTCACTATATTAAGCCTGATGATGAGGACAAGTCTGTTGAAAATAACAAGACAAAGCATAGTTACTATGGTAGATCACCTAATATTGTGGTCTTATGTGCCTTTTCATTACATGTTTTTCTAGGAATGTTTTAGTTGTCTTGTTATGAACTGCTTTTCCCTATAATACAGACAGGATAGACATACATGTAGAAATTCACACCTGGGAAGAATTTTTAAACTATTTACAGGAACAGATCATATAATGCAAGATGTAATGAACAGATACTCTGAAGAAGAGACACTAAGAAACCCAATGCTAATTCTGTAACAGTATGATATAAAATCTGTCAATAGTATTATTCACTGTTCAGAGTGATATTAGTCTAGTCTCTTAAGTTCAATTTCAGCATATGTAAAGATAAGGACAGTTACTACGAAGAGAATGAGAGACATTATGGTAGTCATTATTGACTTCCCCAATGTCAGATCTTGAAGACCTAAAAAGCCGTCATCATCCTGTAACGATTTGATTAGTTCTATAATATGCAGTAGGTATTCAATATGTGCGAATATGGGGACAACTATTTGGAAGAAGCTAGAGACAACAATATAGACAGTGAAGATCTCCAGTGGACATGCTTTGATATCTGTATTTCTGCATTTGTTTCTTTATGAACTGTTTTGTTCTGTTTTGATATGTTTAATCGTACCCCTTTAAGATAAGAAACAAGTGTGTAAGACTGTTAACCATATTACTAAGTTTTTGTTGGATCATTGAGCAGAACTTTTGGCAGTGTCACTATTTGAATGTCACTTTACAGGCTTTAATTTCTGAGCTGAATAACTATTTCTAAGATGACAATATGTAACTTATCAACTAGTGATTTCTTACTATTAAATATATTTTTCTGTAATTCTGTGTTATTTCTATCCTTTTTTCTTCATGTGTTTTGTTGTTTCATTCTTTTTAAATAATAAAAAAGAGACAGTTGCACATTGATATGTAATGTTTTCAAAGAATTTTTATTTTTATTTTTTTGATACTGGGGATTGAACTCATGACTATGTGTTTACACAAGCAGGCACTTGCAATACTGAGCTAAACCACCAAACTATTTTCAAGGGACTTTAAAACATTCCCTTAAGGGATGAATGCCAGCACCAATAATCAGTTGTAAATATGTGTGTGTGTGTGTGTGTGTGTGTACATGCATGTGCACGCATGCACATGGCATGCATGTTTAGTTTGAGACATTTTACTTTGGAGATATCTTTTCTAATGCAGTTATAGAAGATGCATTATTTTGTGAAACATAAAAGTTTTATGTGTAGAAAAGTAAGGTACCGAATGCTACAAGACGATGGAAAAAAGTCTTCTTTTGGTTTTACTTACTACTCACGTCAAAAGGAAGACTTTAAATGAGCTGTTATGACATAATGAGGTTTGAGGAAGTGTTTAGCCTTCTTTAATCCAGTAAAGAATATATAAAAACTCACACATGGTAGTATTTTCTAGGCCAATAATGCTCTTTATTTAACACTGTACACCCTGATCTTTGTTAAACTTTGTGTTTGTGAGTGCATTTCATGAGAAGTATCCCACTTAGTGAACTGTTTTACTGACAGAGCCATTGGGAGGAAAAGCCTTTTCTTGGATAGTAGATTGTCCTGAGAGTTGAGACTGGCATCTACATAGAGGAGCATTTACCTTACTACACTTGGCTTCAGAAAAAGAACAGATTCTTTTCCAGAGACTTCAAAATGCTTCAAGATTGAGAGGAAGGCTCATAAAATATAAATCATGCTCACCATTTTCCTGATTGCTCAAAAAGTCATAGCATCAGAATATTTACCTTGATGGACCATTACAAAGCTCACTAGTCTCCCAATTTTCAGTATAGCACTCGTGCTAATACAGTACAGAAGCCTTTGCAAATTCATGTATGCAGCAAAACAAAATTACATTTATGATGACTCTGAAAGAGGATCTCTTATGATGCAAAGCTCATGAAGACATTTCATAGAGAGATGAGGGAACAAGCTTGTGGGCAAAGGCAAGATTATAAGTTAGTTCTCGCTATTGCAAAATCTGCATCTTTACCCCATAAACAAAGAAGGGTTGAGACCAGAAGACATACACCATGACTCACTCAATTTGGGAATGAGTAGCAGAATCATCAGTGGGGCTCTTTGTCAGTTTAACTCACAGACACCTGCCAGGCACCCACATCTGAGAGGCTTTTACATAAGTATGGGTTGTTATGCTTCCCAACCATGTCCAAACAGATACATGTTTATCTACTGTGTACATGGAGGCGCTTTGGCAGGGCCACATTGGCATTCAGTGGGTAATTCCTGAGCCTAGTCAAGCCTTCAGAATGACAACATCCAGGTCTTTCAATGAGCGAAATGTAGCAATGAAATGCCCACTGAGGAAATCAGGAGATTCATTAAAGTGAAAGACACATAAGTGGGCCTTGTAGGATGCAGCAGACATTCATGGGAGAGTACAGTAAATGTGGAGAACAACAAGAGCATTTGAATGGCAAAGAAGAATTTTGGAGGAGGCAAATGCAAGTAATAGGATGTGCCTGGTGTCTCCCAGAGAAAAGTTACTGGGAGAAAAAAAATGCACAAGTGAAGATCATCAGCAGCCTTAAATATCATGCCAAGAGTTCTGTAAGGATTGAGACTTGAGGTTAATGAACAATGCTCAGGTCTATATTTTGGAAGATGTCTCTGATGGATGGTTAGATAGAAGGCAGTGAGAGTACAGAGAACCCTCAAGAAATCTTGCAAAGCATCAAGCAAGAGACAACACAGACTTGAATGGGGATACTGGAAATGTAATGATGCATATAGTGGTAGAACACAAAGGGGTCTTGGGCAAATAAGAGGCAACTTTAAATTTATTCCAATCACTAAGAACCATGCTTGCCAACTGGTAGGTGCTAGGTAAATAGCTGGCAGGTTATTGGATTTAACAGCTCTCCACTGTTCCCTGACATGTTATTATAGACGGATAGAAGGAAATTTGGAGGAGCTAAGGTTTAGTTAGTGGTTTCATGAAGAGAAGTGAGAAATAATAGGCAGTGAATGCATATCACAGCTTTAAACTAAAGGTAAAAGAAAAGACACCATACTCAAGAGAAAAATAAAAGCATGAGATTAGTTTAAGTGTAAAGTGCACCTTTTCAGGTTAGTGAAACAAGCAGTGGATAAATATAAGCTGGATCGATGAGGAATAATATTAATTATGAAATATTTCCATAAAATCAGAATGATAATTCATGTATTTATTTGCAACACACAATTATGTAATGCTTTTATTTTGTAAGCTGGGAAATACTGGATGTTACTTTTTCTCAAACCCTACCTTTCCTCTCAGCTCCATCCTCCCCCCACCATTTCTCAGAGCTTCTCATTTATGTGAACTACAACAGAAAATGAAAGTTCTTCCCTAATGCACACTGCAATCCTGGAATTGTAATAACCATGTTTATTCAAAGGCACCTGCAGAAACTAGGTTAACTGAAGGCTATCATCCTTAGCAAGCTCATCAGAGCCCTTCAAGTATGTGTTACCAGTAGTACCAGATTTTTTTTGTCTTTTTCCTTTTTATTGGTACCAGGGATTGAACTCACGACTGCCTGCTTGCAAGGGAGGTGCTTATGCCGCTGAACTAAACCTCCAGCCCCAGTACCACATGTTTAAACTGACATGCCCATGTTCCCTCATACCACTGAAGCAATGAGGAATTTTATGAACTGCATGATATCAAATTAATCTGGCTGTTGATTACAGTTTCCCCATCAACAAGGCAATGATGTTAATGCATTAACCTGTCTGCATTGATGACATAACTATTCTATGCTTTTTGTGTCTTGGTGTCCTTCATAGCATGAAATTGGACCAGAGATTCAGTTCTAAGTTGTTTTCTAGCTAAAAAATATTCAATCGATGATAGAACTTATGTAAGTGTCTAAGTATACACAACCTCACCTTGTTTGAACTCAGTAAATGGAATTTGAACGAGGAAACAAACAAGAAAGATTGACAGGTTATCATCACCTGCACAGGTGGACATTTTTATCTTCAATAAATCAGCAGGACCGCAATATTCTGTTGCAGTTTCAAACTGCTTAGGATGGTGTATATGCTCTGTATACAAAGTTTCTTAAAATGCATACACCACAGATTGTATCATCTTTGGAAATTTTATCCCTTTCACCCACCCAAGGAGCTGTCTAGATTCTATAATTATAATTACCTTTCTACAGATTCTAGCAAGACAACGTGAATTGACAATTCTTTTGCCTGCTGCTCATGAAAGCAAAGGTGAACATTGTTTATTAACCAGCCAGATTTATCCAGAACAACTTTACAAGGCTCCTCTAGTAATCTTATAGTAAGTTATACCTTCAGCAAAGCAATACCATGCTAGTGAAAATGAATCATTTGGGGTGTTTCCTGAAGTTAAAATTCAAGATATACAATTCAACACCACTATAGTTTCACAAAACATTGTGACACTGCCCCTCAATTTCACTTTCACTTTTTTCAGTTAGAAGTCAAGAATCGTCTTCTAGCCTATAACATATTATTACATGCTTCAATATATATTTTCCATCTAAAAATAAGGGGAATTAAATTACAGCTCTCTACTTGTGAAGGGAAAATGTCCAAAAACCTCCTGTTTTGTTTGTTTGACCAAATTTTTGTGGTTTCCTTTCCCTCCTCTCCTAACACATTGGTATCATGCATAAGATCTCTGGTTCAAAAATCACCACAATGAAGTAAGAATACTATTGTGATGATTTTGTGGTGTAATGCTCCTCATTTCAGAGGTCAAATACAAGGATTTAATGTAGGCAATGAATAAAATAGAGAGGCTATCTGATCATACTTCCTACCTTTACATTCTGAGACTCCTGCAAGTCAAGGTTAATCTTACTGCTTTTGGAATGTGGAGAATGGTGGTTATCATCTTCATTGGAGTTTCTTCTCCTTTTCCTGCAAATAAATAAAAAAAGACAGAAGATTATATCATAAAACATTTGGTCTTTTGGATATTGGAATTATGAGCCAGTATCAACATATATATTTAAGAGTTTGTCTCAGAAAATATGTTCCTGTTTCTTGCTCCAGGAGAGTTAATTCACAAATTTGCTATCACTGGGCATAAAAGAAAATATACAAAAGAAGAATTCAAAGTAAAGTGAAGCTGTAAATTTCATTGTTGTCATTGTAAGTCCAGACAATACAGAAGTCTGAGATCTTTTCTAAGAAAAACACAAGTAACTGCTGCTCTAACAAATATAAAATTAGAAGCATATGGCACCAGGCAGAAATTAGATTAAAAATATAAGGCAGGAATTCTAAGTATAGTCAAGTTGTAAGTTTACATTACCCAAGTCAGCATAATAATATTAATTGACACTTCAGAATAAAACATATAGAGCTTTATCATTAACTTCTTAAAGTTTACCTAAAAACATTCATTGTTTTCATTCCCCAAAATTACAATTCCACGTTATGTGATTTTTTAGCCCCTTCTACCATCTGATAACTCTCATAAGACATGTGTGGTTTCCAGGTCTACTTGCTGGTAAAGTCCTTTTGCAAGTGGTTCAGGGACATTGAAGAGACATTTCTTGTGTGCTGTTAGGTCATTACTGTTGCCATACCAACAAGTATTATGACATAATAGTTACTTCACTTGACTGTCACTATGAGATTGTGACTACATACCTTAAAGCAGTGTTGTCCCAAAAATATTTTTATTTATTGATAAGATCCTATCCTCAGGCCCAAGTCTACCAAGTCAAATAATCAGATTGAACCTTTGGCATTATAATTCTCACAGATACCCTATCATTTAGCAGCACTCTCTTCAGCCATCTATTTAGTGACTACTTCTAAGTGTCTGGTACTTTCAAATGGAGTTCAATATCCTCATTTCAGTGGTGGTGTTTCTTTCCCATTTGGAAAACTGTATGCAAAGCAAATCTCAGAGATCATAGAGACCAGTAGCTCACATTCTCTGTTAAAATGAACCAAAGAAAACTTGCACATGGGTGCAAAATCTCTATGATGAATGTGATCAAATAAAATGCACCAATAAAATCTGATAAAATGAAACAAGTAAATATAAAAATAAGCAAGTACATAAGTTAGTAGGTAAATAAATAAATAAAACTAGACTGTATACTAGAAAAATTTCTTCCCTGCATCTACTTTCCTGTGTGAAGTGTAATTTGGCTAGACATTTCTTCTCAGAATTAAGGAAACAGAGAACAAGGCCACACCAGGAAACACACCCCGTCTGGGAACGAGGTGTGAGCCATCTGCAGACTGGTGACAGCCAGACCCAAGCCTTTCTCTGTCAATCAGTGCCATTTGCAGACCAGAGAGAGAGAGAGAGAGAGAGAGAGAGAGAGAGAGAGAGAGAGAAAATAAGGCCTACACCAGGAAGGAAACCTCATCTGGGAACCAGTGTCATGCATAGGCCACTACTGGACTGGGAACAGATTGACCCTAGCCCCTTCTGGTGCATGGGCTGGCAAAGAAAAAGCCCCCCCCCCCGCCCCATTAAGGGACTCGCTGATCTGGAGAAACACATGCTGTGATAGCTATGGAGGTGAAATGCATTTGGATGCCTGGGGTGCTTCGGTGTTTCTATGACCTTGTAGTTCTAGGGCCAGTGGTCTGATCATCAGTTCAGAAGATAATGGCACACAATGTGGCATCTGGGGCAGAGGGATCTCTTTCTGAGAATTGTAGTCATCACTGATTCCTTAGGGTTTACTTTTCATTGTTTTGTTGGGTTGGGTTTTATTCTCTTTTGTCTTTCTTGATTATGTTAAATCCAAAGGCATGAGCAGTTATTTCAAAGATAAGAAGATATATTGAGGTAGCAATTTGGATTTAGTATTGGTTTGTTTTGAAGTCCTTTATTGTATTCTTTGTTTTGTATTTATTGTTTCTATTCTATTTTGTTCTGTTTGATTTTTATTATTTTCAAGACATCAAAAGGCATTATGGTAACTATTGTTGATTCTATAATGTTTTGAAGTCCTGCATCACTTACACTGGTTTGTTTTGATTGCCTTTATTCTGCTTTTATTAATCTTGGTTTTATCCTCCTTAAAATAAAAAAATTAAGGAAACAGCACATTCAGAGACACTAAATGACTTGACAGTAAAGTAAGTAAAAGTAGTATAAGTGGGAACAGAAGGGAAATTCTCTTGAGTCTTGGCCCAGTTCTTTCTGATGGACCCTACAGAAAATTAGTGAATAACTGGTTATATGATCACAACAGTGTCTTTGCAGCAAATAAACTGCCAGTATAAATGAGTTCATATTAATTTTGTGTGGTACTGTTTTAAAGGAAGCTTGTTTTCTGTAAAAGGTATATGATTGATTTTCAAGGTATGTCAGAGGCAACCAAGCAACACCAGAAGTACTAGCTAGATTTGAGGAGAGAAAGAACACTGCAGTTAAACCAAGCTGGCTTCCAGCATAATGCTTACTGTAAATGACTGTGTTATTTTGTTTTCTGGAGATTGAACCCAAGGCCTTTCCATTGACTTATACCCCTAGATATCTCTAGCCCTCTATTTTTATTCATTCATGTACATATTGAGAGTCTCTCCAAGTTGCCCTGGCTGAGCTCAAACGTGTAATCTTACTTTCTTAATTCCAATAGCATTTTGGGAATTGGACTCCCTAACTTCTTACTTAGCATGTTCTATTTTATACTTACCATGTCTCGTTATAGGAACCAGATAGAACTCCAACACAGCAAGTAAAGCTGACATTAAGTTTTAGTACTAGATTACATAACCTTGGGATGCTTCCAAAGCCTTAATTATATGAGTTTGATTATGACACAGGGTAAAGTTTTCGTGAAAGACAGCCAGTATGCTGATGGCTAACCAAAACAAAGCAACAATAAAAGATATGTGATACCTACTAAGGAAATTTTGTGCTACATGTGACTGGATTTGGGGGTGATGAAGTCTCCTTTTGGAAGTGGTTTCTGAGTACTTTACATCCTGAGCAAAGAAATGGTCAAAACGAGTACAAATGGTGGCAAAATTTATTTGAGGTAGGCAAAGAAACGGACTCTACAGAGTGAGTTGGGGTCAAGCAAAAGGAGTAAAAGAAGCACAACTTACAGCATGGAAGTCGTGTACTGTCCTTTTTGCATTGCCCACTTCTCAGGCTGATATCAGGTCTAAACCACTGGTCTTAGTTACTTTTACTTTTACTTTAGTTACTTTTCTCACTGCTTCTTTTTTTCTTTTTCTTTTTTGGGTTTTTTTTTTTTTTTGGTACCAGTAATTGAACTCAGGTCCTTGTGCTTGCTTGCCAGGTAAGCTCTTGTGCTGTTAAGTTGTATCCCTGGCCCACATTGCTCTTTCTTTGGCTGGCTTTGCTCTCTTCTTGCAGCTTTCCTTGGAAAATCCACATTCCTGGCTTCTCCAAACTTGTGGGGTCTCCCATTCAGCTTCACACTCACAGATTCACACACTGTCCTCTCAAGGGCACACTGCCTAGTCTCAGAGATCATCTTCTGAAATCAGGGTGGAAGCCTTCCTGACCCCATAACTCTTGCTTTCTGCATGCACCTAAAAGCATCACCATGTGGATGTCAACAAGGTCTGCCGCCTGGTGGAGAAGCAGCCAGGCTTCCTTCTCTGCTGTCTGTAGGGGTCAAGTGCCTGTGAATCAAGCCTGTCTTCCCTACCCTGTCACCACTCAGAAAAACTGTGCTCTGAGGCTGTCTTCTCAAAGCAAAGCCTTCCATTTTTGTAATTTTGAGGCTGCCAAGGGTGGAGTCCTGCTGGTCCTTGTGATGCCCTCAGGCCACCTTTTCTATTGTCTTCTGAAATACCTGGGGTTTTTTGTTGGTCTTTTCAGTGACAACTTTCTTTTCTGTGCCTTCTTTGTAGCCCACAACTTTATTAGAGCTTCCTTCCTGGCCAAACCTAAATGTTTTTAAAGCATTCTGCTGGGCTTTTGCTCTTTGGTCTCAACACAAATCTAAGTAAAAAGCCCTCAACAGTAGCCATGCCATTGCTTTAACATTAGATTGCTTTGAAATTTTTTCTTCCACATTAGTTAGTTGGAAAATTTAATTTCAGCCTCAGGCAAAGTCTCTGGACACAAGCAAAATCCTGACCAACTTTCTGACAAGGCATAATACACATGATCTGGAGACCAACAGCCAGATCTGTCCTTACAAGCAGAAAAATTCTGAGCCTTGTCTTAATCAACAGAATTTCTATCAGCATACCTGTCTTCTGAGTTCGGATCATACTCTCCCATCAAGTAAAACTTCAGATATTTCAGTTCCACTTTCAGCTGGCATCTCCAAACCTTTCCTAACTCTTTCCCTTCCCACATGCCAGCTCCAAAGGCTAACTAAACATGTGTTCTGGTAGAGTCACAGAAATGACTCCACTTCTCAGGTTAAAAAAAAAAGTCTTAATTACTTTTCTCACTGTTGAGGCAAAATACCTGACACCCAAATATAAAGAAGGAAAGACTTATTTTGCTCATAGCATGTAATGGTTTCAATCCATAATTAGCTGAGTACAAGGTAGATTGGCATGGCAGACAGGCATTGGCAGAGGAGAAACAGTTCATCGCAGGCAGAAGGTACCAAAACAACAAGGGGGATGACCACAGCTCTTTCTATCTCCTACATTTTGTCCAGGCTACTTAGGGCAGGTAGCACTTATACCCTTAGTCCTAGTGCCCTTGATTCCATCATCAAACTCTAGATGCAGCCACCTCTGAAAATGCCAACCTATGGCTGAAAGAGGCCTTGGGGGGACATCTAGACACAATTCATAAGAGATGCATGCATATTTCTCAATTCAAATATAAACCAAGTTACAACATGTACATGAACACACCTATACACACCTATGTGAGTACACACAAACATACGTACAGACATTCATGTGATATGGAAATAAACTAGAAAATTCTGTGTTATAATATTCCTGATTCATGACAGATGATGAATCATGTTTAGATTTAGAATGAAGTTGATAAATCAATGTTTGCAAATGCTTGTATGTGTGCTTGTACATATGGTATATATGGTATTTCTCAACTACATGAATTTTACCAAGTGAATTTGTAGAATCACTTAATGAATTTCTATTCAAAGTGTCTTAGAGACAGGGGAGTGTTTGTATTAATAAAATATTACTAAAACTTCAAAAATATGAAAGCTGACCCAAATATTTGAGAACTTCATCTGTGTGCAAACATTTGGCAATTTGACCAATACAGTGTTATTGGTGTAACACAAGTCACGGTGTTTTCTGAGGTATTAGCATTAACTTTTATGAACATTCATTTTTATTCTATCTCATTAGTGAAAGATAAAAATAGTGAACAAGAAAATAACTTGTGGTCTATCTCCCAGACCCAGAATATGTCAGTAGATGAGGGGAGCCTCAGCCACCCCTCCACCACACCTCGAAAACCTCAGCAGCTGAATGGAGCCTCACTTGCTCATCCCCCACACCTGCAAGGCCTCGGCAGCTGAGGGGAGCCATGGTCAACCCTCCTCCACACCCACATGACCTCAGCAGATCATGGGAACATCAGTGACTCCTTCCACCACCTGTAGTAACATGCCAGACAGGCGAGAACATACGAA